GAGGAACATCTTCAATATTAAGAAGAACTATTTTCTAATAGTTCCTTTCCTTTTTGAAATTAGGTTATAAATAAAGTCCAACTATTTTAATGAGATTTAATTTTTTCAGTATTTTTTTCTACAGAAGGTATATTGGAAGAGGTATGCTAGCATGGCCAACAAAATACATGACATTGTGATAAGCTAACTCTAAATTCTATAGAGTATAGGGCATCTGAATATCATTGTAACATTTGCAAAATACTGTTCCTTTTTCTAAAAAGCACATTTCTTACTTCTTGCCTTCTTTCCATATTCTCATTATATACTACAGGGTAAGGCCCAAGAGGCAGAAATCCATTCCCAGCTTTCCTAACAATATAAACTTATCAAAGAATAAGTGAATAGGAATAAGTGAATAGAAGAATAGCAGCTCAATGATAATTTTGGCATTGTAACTTTACATTCATTGTGGTAGCTCCCTCTTCAACAAAAACATTGTGCCTTACCCACTCTTTCATTGGTTCCCCTGCCTCCCACAATTATTCACACAGCCCTGCTGAATAATTTTCTTCCCCCTACCTGGCATAACAACAAAGCTCAGATGCAGGAAGGAGCACCACTCAAAGGCAGGTCAGATAATGATGTAATTAATTCAAGAAGAAGTGGTATTTCAGAGAGCTTCATGGAGTAAGAGACAGGCTAATTTCTCGGGTTAAGACATTATTAGGAAACTACAGTCACTAAAGCATGAATATCTAAATCAAAAATTTTTCTCCAAATGAATAAAAAGCATGTATAAATATTATCTCCTTTTATGAAATTCAAAGACTTCACATTCAAATTTTAATTAGATATTTCAAATTGTATATAAAAATAGCACCCTGTACCCCCATGACAGTATCAATGTACACAGCTATGATAAAATTTAAAAAAAAGAAAGAAAAAGAAAAAGAAATTTTAATTAGAAACAAATTCAAAACCAGTTTGGGGCTCGGTGCCTGTGGCTCAAGTGGCTAAGGCGCCAACCACATACACCTAAGACGGCACCTTAAAATCCAGCCCGGGCCCGCCAAACAACAATGATGGCTGCAACCAAAAGATAGCCAGGCATTGTGGCGGGCACCTGTGGTCCCAACTACTTGGGAGGCGGAGGCAGGAGACTTGCTTGAGCCCAGGCGTTGGAGGTTGCTGTGAACTGTGATGCCACAGCACTCTACCCAGGGGGA